AACAAATAGGCAAAAGATAGGAATACACTCCATTAAAGATATACAAACGTCAAATAAGCAAATGAAAAGGTGTTCAATACCATTAATCTTAAGGGAAATGATAATGAAAACTACAACATTAAACTCCTGTGAGAATAACAAAAATTAAAAAGACTGACCATAAAGCAGTGGAACAGTTGTGGAGGATGGAACTCTCATATACTGCTGATAGCAATGAAAAATGGTCCAACTGCTTTAGAAACTAGCAGTTGTTTATGATGTTAAATTTTCAACTACCATAAGATCTACTCATTGCACTCCTGAGTATTTATCCTTGAGAAAGAAAACATAATTCCAGGAAAAGACTTACTCGCAAATGTTCATAGCAGCTTTGTTTACAAGATCTCCATATGGGGAAGAACCCAAGTATCTAACAACAGGTAAATGGATAAAACAAATTATGGTATAGCCATATACCGGCATACTGTTCAGCAATAAAAAAGAATGAATTATGGATAAGTGCAAGAAAATGGATACATCTATAAATTAAGAGGGTGAATAAAAGATGTCAAAGCAAAAATAAAAACAAACATAAACACCTCCATGATCCCATTTAAATAAATTTCTAGGACATGAAACCTAATCTATAATAACAGAAATGCTGTGCTTGCCTGGGGACAGGGCAATAGGAGGGTTAGGGGGGCCAAGTACTACAGAAATGAAAATGATATGCCCTGGGAAATAAGGATAATAATATTTAGGCCTATCTAGTTATTTTAGGGGACATGGCTGGCTATCATTATAAGAGAGGAAATTACATGGCAATTATTATTTTTCAAAATACTGAATTCTTGTACGTCACACTTTGACAATTCTACCTAATACTTGAAAAACTCCTGGCTTCTTAAAAAATTCATTATACAATGGATAAAAATGTGGGGACCACTGAAGAATGCATATTACAATCTCAAGTTGCTAGGAGGACCGAACCAACTGTGTATTTCAAAATCCATCTGAGAGATACATGGGAATTGCTGATTATTATTTACTCAGGCAGAAAATATATGAAAATTTATTGCAAATACATGTTAAACATCAAGTTCCTTCCCCCAAATGGACTGTCAATG